GAACAGTGCTATCTAGTGTCCAATGTATTATAGGAAATCAGAGGCTGATGTTACAGAGACAAGAACTGCACAGTTACATAAAAAAAACAAACAAACAAATCATAACAAAGAACAAAGAATCTGGTATGTGAGTAACTTAGAAGGGAAATATGTAATACCATCCTCTCGGCACTAGTAAATAACTGATTTCCAAAGAAAATTCAAGCCTGGCTTCATGACAAAAAGAGGAATGGGATGACTAGGAAAGAAGAACAAAAGAACTACAGCTTGTATTTGCCAAAATACAAGGAGAATGCAAACCAACCTTGGAAAATGAATCTGTGAATATAAATGACAACAGGATGATAACATCTTAATATCCTGCACTATAATTTTTTGTGATCGAAGGTAGGGTCTCAACAGCAAATATCACTGTGTGATATATTCATAGACTCTAAGGTTTCTTGTGAACACAGACGTTGCCAAAATACAAGGAGAATGCAAATCAAGCTTGCAACGTTGAATTTGTGAGTATAAATGACAACAGGATGATAACTGTTTAATAAACTTCAATACATTATATTGTGAATGTCTGCATTTTGTGACAGGTAGGGTCTCAGCAGCAAATTTCCCTGCATGATATATTCATAGAATCTAAAGTCTCTTGTGAACACTGACAATGCCAGAGTAGTTCCCACTGTGTCCTCCCAGGGTGAAGAAAGGAGCCTGACTCCACTAGCATCTGTCATATACTAAGGTATGCAATGGAGTACCGAGCTAAGAGATGATACAGCATTTCAAATCTGACAGAAATATCAAATCTTAACAGAGAAGCAGTTGCTTCAAAAGCAGGATGCTACTTCGTGCATAGGAGATAGAGCAGGTGACTAGGACTTATAAAGCTGGGAATGAAAAAAAACCCTGCCTTTGCTTATTTCCACAGGCTCTGACTCCTGTACATGTCAGGAGCAGTCTGCCTTGCCTATCCAATGTATAGTCGGCCTTTAGCCACACCCAAGACCCACTGTGTCCTGGAATATGGCCAGAGCCTGACTGGTAAGAGCTCACAATGCTGTCTCTTTTATAAGCACTCCTTGCTTCTGATTGAAGGACAGT